TAACGATATGACTAACGTTTCTTTTTTTCATTAAAAGTGGTGAGAAAAGTCCATTTGGTTCACCGCGAGGCGAAGAATGTGCACAAGGACTTCTAAGAACAGTGAGTAAACCGTTGTTTGTCGCATACTAGATTTTTCATGTCGCGCGATGTAAGCTTGGGCTTAAGCTTATATTTGAAAACGCTTTGCCGTATAAAAGACCAATTTATTTACTCAAAGTCCTCACTAAAATTGTTCTGTGATTAATGGATTAAAGCTGTCTTTGACAGCAATATAAATGTGTGGAAAGAGGGGATATTAGTTGCGTGTATAATGATCCTCTGCATTGTCGGCCTATAAAAAGTATGCACGAAAATATTACACGGTTAATACTTGTATGGCACTCAAGGCCTTCTGATATGATCTCTCGTAAATTATCTTGGAGTAGTGTATTCCGATTTCGATTGATTGAACTGAGAATTTTTTTTAAGGTTTTAAAATTTCATTGCATGGGATAGAAACGGGATTGGCGGAGGGTCGGCGTGTGAACAGGGGTACAGTACATCAAAAACCCGGTTCGTCAGCCACCCCAGCTTAGCTGAAATTGTTACATGGAATCGGAGAAGGTGGACCAAAACTTTAGAAATATGTTTTACAGCCCTGCTATATCATAATGGCAGTAAAGAACTTGCATGTCATATTTTGTTCATGTGCTTGCTGTATATATTGGGTCTACTTTGTTTAAAAGTCAATAAAATGATTCAGTGGTGAATTATGGCATTTTTTTTCTTCAAAGGCCCTTTGTTCAGTCACTCTTTTGAGTTATGACCCAGTTTTGGATAAAGCAGTTCCCTTAAGGTTATTGAACCTTGACCCTTTGACTGAACAGTAAGAGCACAAAAAAATATGCAACTGTCACCATGACCAAGTGTTACATGTGATAAAAATTGGAGACCCCAGATGGGTTTCTGAAAGCCTGATTGGCTAATCCAGGAATAACACTTTTATTAGTCACCATTTTCACATACAATAGGCTATGACATCTTGTTTACCCTCCCCCCAAAAAAAAGAAAAACAAAAACAATTGCATAACCATTAATGTCTGATTTCTCTGGGGATATAAACTGTAAGACTAGAACAATGGTTATGCAAAATTTTGTGGGGTGAACAAGGTGCATTATGGCCTATGTGAAAATGGTGAATGTGAGATTGTATTTGCATTACTGTGCATTAACACTTTTAATATTGTGTAGTGAACAACTGGATCTTGGAGTTGAGGATCATCAATATTTTTATTTCAGCTACGTGCCTGTTTGACCTATAAAACAAGATCATTTGCTTAAAATTTAGCTCAACCCTTGCGATAAAAATAACCATCTTTTGAGGAACTGTTCCTTCACCTTCAATGACTAGCTGGCATGGAATGTTCCCCTTTCAAGTCAGAGAGATTATTAGAAGCATTACTTCATTATACCCTCTACAGGTGAACGCACATTAACCCTTCCACAGGCAATTGTCACTGGTCTGACTCTCCTAACAGTGCATAATAATTTATGCTATTTGGCTTGTCATGCAAAGTTGCTTCCAAATGTTTAGGAAAATCTTTCAGCACCTTGCAATTCCTAACATTTTTTATCCTTAAAATATTATTTTTATATGATTATATTCCAGGCTGATCAAGTTCTTCCTCAGGAGCAAAACACTGATTGGATCTGGGAGTGGTCCAGTCGAATTGAGGTGCAACCTCAAAAGTAAGAACTTTAAATTATATCTCATTGTGCATCTTCAGTTGAGATACTAAGGGCACTTTCCATTTACCAGAACTGACTGGCCAGTCTATTCCTGCCATAATGGGAATTTTACTTTTAATCAAAACTATCCAGCCAGATCAGACAAATCCTAAATAGTATGCACGAAGTGGATGCATGGTTTATCAGCAAAAACACCTTGAAAAAGCCAATTTCATTTGCTAATGGACTGGTCCGGCCAGCCAATTCTGACAGATGGAAAGCACCCTGAGAAATACTGTAAGATTATTTGCCTCAGTTTCAGTTTCTTGCTTTTAATAATTTTATTGTGTTTTAATAGGAAGTCCGTATATTATTACTTTATATTAAAATAATAAATTATTACTGACTACCGATAATATTTTAAGTTAGAGATGTCTTTAAATAACCCGTAACACCTGTAACGGCTAAGCTCACACAAAATTATAAGTGATCGAAATGGAAAGTTAAATATGTCCACATTACTATCATTATTTTTTTTGTCATAATTTGTGAGATGTTATGGGTAAATCTTCAGTTGCTACAGCTGCTTCAAGACGTAATGACTGAGCCCCAAAAATAAAATTAAATTGATACTAAGGTTTATTAGTTATAATGACTGCTTTTATTTAATCATAAGGGTTTGAGAAATGATTGGTGTTAATTATTGAAAACTAAATAGGGAGTGGAAGATGCAACATCCAAGAAAAAAATCCAAACCGCGTGGCACCCCACTCAGCATCAGAGGAACAAAGGTTATGAAAAGGTACCAGTAATTTTTACAAAACTAAGCATTGCAGTAGTAACTAAACTTGTCTACTTATTAAGCCGCACCCCATCAGCCTACAGAACTGTTGAAATTACTATGGGAGATCAGCACAGAAAGTAGAGTGCATGAAAAAGATTGAGTGAATAAGACAACAAATGAGGATCAGATGTGCTGACTTATTTGGCTTGCTCTTACTACAAACTCTAAGTCAGTGGATAAGAAAATTATTGTTAAATGCTGTTATTCTCTGCTGAAAGGTGGTTTTATTCAGCTAATACGTCTTTTGTCCAGTAATGGGTACAGTTGTTCAAAAGGTGGATAATGTTCCCTAATTAATATTGAAGAACAAGGCTAGAACAACCAGGGGAGTGATTGAATATGAGTATACATGTGTATGAAATTTAACCAACATACGCATAATTATTTGCATAGGTAATACCATGATTTGTAGTGATATTTGGCATAAGTACCACAAGTGATATTCCAAAATTGTTATGCGTAATTTCGCAATTTGAGACAATTTTGAAATATCGATCACGACTGGTATTTTTGCCAAATATCACGTACAAATCATGCTATTATTTGTTTATACTACTACCCACAAAGGTTTGTAATTTTCACATGTAGGTATTTCAAATTAAGCTGAAATACCACTGCTCTAAGCCAATCAAATTACAGAATTTTCTCATGTCTAGTAGTATAAATATTGTAATTATTGTAATATTAATAATTTTTATGTGCAGCATGAGAAATTTATTTATTTGTATTATGTACCTATTAATTTTTTTGCAGCAGCACTGAGCTAATGAACATCAATTTCTACATTGTTGTACCTGCTCTTGTGGTATCACATCTCATTGCATTTGGAATTGGGTAAGTTATGTGTAACTTCATTTTCTATTCTGGTCATGGCACAGTTAAGGCGGTAATTGTCTGGCAAATTTGTTGATAGCCCACAAGTGGTATTTTTGTAGCTCTCTTTGTATAACTTATATATGCCTACTTGGTCTAAAACAATAGCTATACTTGTAAATTACACTTGTAAAAGATTAATCAACATAATTGAACCCAGCACAAATCTCCTGATTCCCTGTACATCTACACTGTGCATGTACACTGGTCACCAAATCTCTCAGATTAAAGATCAACCTTTTAGTTTTTCTGCACTCATAGTTTGGAATTTAACATTTTTTCCCAAAGTTTGAATTTGTTTTTGATTCATAGTGTGGTTTCTGCAGAATATTGGCACGTATTTCTTCATTACAATCATAGAACTGACTGGTCACTACTTAATTAATGACCACAATTTGTTTCATTATTTGTTTTGCAGAGTTTACGTTGGACGGCGCGTGGTTCAAGTGGATCTATGATGACAGTAACAAAAAACCAAATGAAAGGCTCTGGACAAAAAAGTCCCCTCATCTGCTGAGCTGCTAATTTCAAAACTGCTTTTAAGTTGGATTGCAGGTGTTTTACATACAATGTAATCGACTAGCTCGACAAACAAGCTGAAGTGTATATTTTCAAGACATATTATATAATTATTGACTTTTTAGCAATTTAAAGGGGCTCACAATAATATTATTTAGAGTAAACATTCAAAAATTAAACAATGGTCTTCTAAATTATATTTCTTCACCTACACTGTATTAGTTATTTTTTTGTTTGTTTGTTTGTTTTCACTTTAACATTTTAAACTTAATTTCACTTAAATTTTAATAAAACCCTGCTCTCCAGGAATTAAGTCAATAATTTTATTAATGGTCTTCTCCAATAGAAAGGAGGCTGTACATTCATGAGTACAAATAACTGCAATGATCTGATCTTGCAGAGTGAAATAACTTGTACCTCTTGGGTATGTTGTGTGTCTGAAGTACTCATCAACTAAGTTTGGGGCTTATGTCTTAGTTTTTCTTGTTGGCCTGAGTTTCAAAGCTGTCAAACCTTTAATCTCATTATTTTCTGGGTGGTTTCATTAACAAAAGGGTAGTAAGTTATTTAAGATAATGTTTTTGAAAATTAATGTAATATTTGTTTAAAATATATCAGGAAAGGTTACAGCAGTCCATATGGGTTAAAGATGCTGTAGACTGCAGGCTCAATAACCAGCTGCTGTTCAGGAAAATTTTAGCCCATGCTCATCCTCCTGAAAATAGTCTCTTCGGAAAGGATCAAAGACCAGACCAGGAAGATGGCAGAGATTGATGAGCCCACCCTACACTAAAATGTTAATGAATATCAAACATTTGCCTGGCTCACGCACGTTTTTCAGTCACACGCCTGATATCCCCTCCTTTAGCTTCCCTTTGTAAAAGCCGGGAGCTTCCTAATGTCACACAGTTAACCCTTTAAGCCCTAAGAGTGATCAGTCTGTATCAATTTTCTCCTTGTAATTATCAGTGCTTTGTAAAACAAGAGTGGTAATGAGAATTATGGACGTGATCACACAAGATGAACTTACAGTACTTGATATTTTATCAACTTCTCCCACTACTTCTGTAGGAAATGAACAGGGGCAACAAATAAAAATTCAAGTTTGATCTTAGGGTTTAAATGGTTAAATGCTACCATCTGGCATTAAAATAATGACATCTCGTGTTACATGTAAGTGGTTACGTCCGACATTGAGATATTCATGCAAATGACTCATGGTACTGCAAAAAAGCTTGGAACATTACGGCCTTGATAAACCAAGACTACATGTATTGTAAGCAGATAAGGTCGTCTGTTGGGAGAGCTAAAAAATGCTAGAATGGCAGGTACGTTTTAGTGATGCTAAATGGTTTTCAAGATCAATATGTCTCTAATTAGTCACAACCTTTAAAAAAATTATGCCCTGACATTTCTGATATTTTACTTTTATTTGTTAAAATTACTAAAAGTTAGTAACTACAGTGCGAGTGGATTCTTCACTTAATATATCAAGGGCCCAAAATGGATTTTAAAAATATGGTTTTAATACAATTATAGGTACTGCAATAATAATAATTTTATTAAAAATCAAAATCAAAGCTTCTGTAAAAACTATTATATACTAGAAAATTTGTTTCTTTTCTTGCTAGGTTCATGTAATATAGTTGCTGTGCTGCAGGTTTTAGATTGTACTTAATATAAAATCCATGTATGTTTAAGTGTTCAATTGTGTGTCATTAAATTTTAGTACATTGCACTTGTGATTTTTTAGCTTATTTCCTAAGCTAAAAGGATTATTAGATTAGAAGATCTTAACATGATCATAATGGAAACAATTTTGTCTTCTCAAGCTAAAAAAGCTCTTTTATTCAAGCTGTAAATAAGAGTAATTTAAGAATTAAGGAACTAGATTAATGACTAGCCCTGAAATATTTAGAGAATTCCATCAAAAACTATACCAAAGTCTTGTTAAAATATCAATCGGTTAAACTTTTTGTTCCATTGATCTTTGATTTCTGCAGTGGACATACTATTACTAACACCTACTACAACTTCTGCTACTGCTACTACTACTACTAATAATAATTTTCGGTGATGATAAGTTACATGTATATAAACTCAATACTTTTTACCATAGCAGCATTGCCCTAATTCCGTTATCAATTCTTTTGTTTATTTGTAGCGATTTTGCACTAGTTTCATGGGTCAAGAAAAATCACTCCAACCAACTAGATTTATACATGTACCTGTGCGCAAGGTGTAAATAAGATATAGGGGACAAGGGCAAGAATGAAAAGTTTTGAGATGCATCAGCCCCTTTTATCCTCCTTCACCCCTTCCCCACCCTCCACAATCCTGAGTCGAGAGCCTGCTTACAGGCTAATTGTTTGGTGTACTCATCAGAGCTTGCATCAGGATTTTAAATATCATGATACTTTTGACTTGAGAAGGGCACTTGTTTGAGTTCAATAATAATTATCATGAACAGTAAAAAAGTAAATATTTTTTGATCGTTTTTGTTGAGCACAACTGGCTCCTCAATACCAGCAATCAACTGTCCAGAAAATATCAATTTTTTGATACTAAACTATAGTATATACTCTTAGAAATTTTTATAGAAATCTACTTGTTATGTATTGATAATATTTTGGCAGTTAAAGATTCAAAATATATTTTACCACCTATCTAGTCCACTTAAAAAATGTAGTCATGAATAAACTGGAACGAAAGGAAATGCACCTACATGTGATGCACCTTGCAGTAAAAGACAGATCCCTTAAGATGCTCATTCTAGTATGTCACAAGATAAAACTTCCGTTAGCAACATGTTAGTTATGTACTAAATATCACATACTTGTTTCATGTGACATAAATTCTGACAAGTATTTGTTTCCTATCACCTAAAATTGCTGCAAACTTGCAGCTAATCCAAAAAATAAAAGTAGATTATACTAAGCAACAAGGTTTGTTAACAGGTGGTAATATTGCTGTAGTTAAAACCATTAATAAATAAATAAATGTGGCAAATAACATGTATGTGCTGTATATCACACAAATGAAACAACTCAGTATAAATGTTCAGTTTATACCTGTTAGCTCAGGCCTCCAGTAGTTCCTTTTAATGAACCACTATTGAAGAATGAAATTTAGCTCAGGGCCGAGTCATTTAAAGCCATGTCAGGTACCTCGAATCTGGGTTAAGATAATCCAGGGTCAATTAGGTGAATTTCAAAAACTAAGATATGAAAGCATAAAAAGCAGCTTTATTAGTGAATTCTCTTTGCCTTCAATGTGATGATTGAATGCTCCAAAAGGAATTCATATTGAGCAAATTATTCAAGAAAATGTTTATAAAGAAGAAAAGAAAACGAAACTCAGATTAAAATTTAGCCCCAAGTTAGATCTGATAGGCCTTCAAACTACTGTTACCATGTTGGTGCTAATCCTGGGTTAACTGCACCAGTTGTCATGGTAACATAACCTAAATTTGTGCTCATTGACTTTCAACAACTCAGCCCTTACAGTACCTGACTGCAGAACAGTACATGTACTTCTGAGCTAAATAATGGACAAAATCTAATTTATTTATGTGAAAAAATGAATAAAGTCTAGGATTTTTTCATCCTCTGAGACCCAAGGGCAATCAGTCACATCATGATCAGCAGACTTGGAGAACTTTCATTGTACTGTTTCTGTCAACCCGACTGACTACCCCTGAGTCTCCAGGGATGGAGTTTTTGGTGCATTGTTTATTATTATTATTATCATCATTATCATTATCATTATCATTATTATTATTTATTTATTTACTTTTGGTATACTTGATATCCTAAACTCACAATACTGTAGACCTTGATCTCAGCAGCAAAGTGTGGCCCATGATCTAAATACCAAACACTGGGCAGAGGTCCAACCACCACAAAGTAGCAAGTGCAAGTCTAGTCTCTCCCAGAATGATTTTAATAATTTCCTTATTATTACTGAAGCTTTTGTCATGATCTAAACAACAATTTATAGACCTTTGGACATTATGGATATTCACTAACTGTTCTTTAAACTTGAAAGGGTCTATTACTTCAATTACCATCTTACAATACAAAACAATGGCTATGAAGGCTTTGAAGTGACTTCCACTCCATGATACCAGGAGAAACACTGACAATGAGTGAAAATCATATGGAAAACTCCATTACAATTTTTAGATAAATCTCAACCAACTGAGTAGATTTCCTTAGTTTGATGATGCATAATAAGAATAATTATTATAATATGTTTGGGTAACAACTTCATTTAGTTAATAAAAATACATTACCATTATCTGAATATAAATTCTATCTAACAGTACTAAGACATCAGAGTCCCTTGTTGAAGTAGACTATTTTGAGTTCTGGATATTGCTTTCTAATGGCTTCTTGTGCCTCTGGTTCAAGTTTGTCTACAGACATGGAACTGCAATTCAGATAATAATAACAATTGACCACTTTTAACAAGGCAATTTTTTTACAGGCTAAGTTTACACAAAAGGAATGTTTTTTAATTCAAATTAACATTTTCGTCTGACATTATCATTGTCATTATCTGTGATTTGATTCTTTTCAGCTACTCGTGATCATCTGAGTGTTTCCTGTCACGTCGCCTTCCTGCCACTTAGAAGTGCAACACCTGCTCAATGCCAGAGTATTCCAGCAAGACAAAAACCTGGATGCTTTGATCTATATTATCTCAGAGTCCTATATCCAATAACACTACAAAAGCTTCTATCTGGTGCATCTGTCCTTCTTCCAAACTATGACCACATGTGTTTCTTTATGACTCAGAATCAAAAACAATATTTCATGCAAAAGTGGACAGTACCGTTCTCAGCCCCTTCCTGTAAGAAGGTAATTTCAATAAAATATTTAAACTATTCATGCACAGTAGGAATGTACTATCATGACATTTCTTCTTCACCCCTAAGATTTATTTTATTAATTTACAAAATAATAGTGCATAAAGTTTAGAACATAAATTTGAATATCAAAAACATTTTGTCTTTAAATATTGAAAGGAAAAACATATTAAGTAAGCAGCATTTACCATCTCTGGGGAAAAATTGAACACGCAGCAGGTACCATGAAGCACAAACTAGAAGTATTGAAAAAAAGAAAAAACCAAAAACAGAATTATTAAATAGATGTTAAGATATTACATCCTTAGATTGTATTTATAAATTCAGCATAAAATTAATGAAACAAGTCATTCATTATGTTAACCTTCACTGCATTCTTTAAGGATAATCAACGGTCAGAAACATCTGTCAAAGTCCAAAATTTATTATTTACACAGAATGGGTCTGTCCTTTCGACTTATGCATCTAAAAGTCATACAGTATTTGTCTGTTTCGTAAGACGTAATTATCAAGTGCATAATAAACTATTATAAATTCAGCAGAGCATTAAAAATATTCAAGCACAATTATAAAGAAGTTAGCTCATTACAAATGCCTACCTCAGACCACACAGCAACATCTGAAGAGGCCCATGCATTGGTTTAATACGCTGTTAAAACATATAATAGACAAACTTGATCTATATTTTATATGATATGAACACCAATGACATGACAAAAACATGTGAAAAGATCACCTTTGCTACGTGGCTACATGATAAAATACATCTCTCAAAGCAAACAAACATAAAGTGAAGTGGTTTGGTATTCAATTAAAGAAAAATTCCATATCTCCACGCGACCATGTAATATCTGCTATGTACATTTCTTTTGGTAATTGTATTATTTTATTAAATTATTCTAATTGAATAAAATACTGGTACAAAATATTACTTAACAATTTGTGCTACACAGGTACATGTACAATGAACCACACTAAACAACCTTGCCACCGTTTCAACAGTTAAGTATTAAAAATGATCTCGGAAAAACACTAACCTGCATGAAGCGGTATTTTTCTATTTTCTCCATAATAATGGGTACAATAACTGAAATAACGAGACTGATTATTAGTGACCGTGAGTCTAAAAAACAAAAACTGCTAGCTTAAACTTTCACTGACAGGAAATGGAGTGTGTACGGTTTTTTCACAAAAATTAATATTATTGTTATTGCTGAGAACATTTCAATTTTTTTTGGTGCCATCTTACCCTAGTCTTCATAGCATAACTAACAGTGTATAGTGTAATACTTTTTTCCTTTAATCCTTTTTTCCCGCAAGTATGCTGTTTGTAAAAAATACTGGAACATCCCCCCCCCCGCCCACCTCACTTCCAGAGGTGCCAACCTCGAGAGATCTTAAATCTGGAGGCTCTTTTTATTGTACCCAAATGTCAACCCCCAGCAACCCCCTCCCGAACCCCGCCGGAATGGCTTAGGACATTATATGAAGTCTTACATGAAATACATACTATCAAATTGTAGACAAAATAATCTTTGTCAGTGACTAAATGAGAAATGCAAAAAGGTCCCAGGAACAGTACAATGAATAAAAAAAAACTTCAAATTTTGAGAAGGAAAAAAATTGGCTAAATTTCAAACTTAGGCAAAGAAAAGCTCAAAAGTCCATTTTATCCAGGAGATTTGGTGACCCGTAAGGGAGAGAGTGAGAGATCAGTGCTGTATCCGAAAGACTCCCAGATAATCCAAGAGAGTTGGCATATGTACCCTTCCCCACTGAGCTCTCACTTGAAGGTCATTGAACACCCTGGGGATCTACAGGATGTGTGAAGTGAATCTTATGTATGAGGGATGCAGGATGCAGTGGTAACAAACCCCAGGGGGGGGGAATTTTTGGGTGGGGATGTGCTTTTCCATCTAGACCTAGTTCAGCTGAATTTTGCTACCCTATACTAGACTTAACTACCAAAACCTCTCCCTATGCTACAGCTGTAGAGTCACTATTTTCCATCTAGCAACACTTTCTTTGCTATAAACGAAGTTATGGGGAAATTTGAATTTTTAATGTTCTGTTTTCAAGTGTCAATTCCCAGTTTCCCTAATTGAGGCTACAATCTTCAACCAATTGATCAGTTCCCTGGAAAATTATACCCTATTCTAGACCCAAACTTTATGATTTCTATATCCAATTCCAGACTAAACTGCTTGGAAACCATACCCTTAACAGTGGCACATACCTGTAAAGCCCATAAATAGCAATTACCTTCCCCGTGTAACAAACTCACAGTACAAGTTGATCAACTTACTCATTCCTGGAGCTGCCATTGTGATTCTGGAGATAACAACTTGAGTTATTCCTTTTGCTGCTGCCTTCTTTGATTTCCCCACGGGATTTTTGTTCTCATCAAACAAAACTATACCATCTATAAGTTCTCTACAGGAATTAAAAGGAAAATATTATACTTCAGTGCTCAAAGACATAGCTTAGATTTTGAATGACTGGGTTTCTTTTTTTCTATTTTTCTACGAAAGCAGCTGGGGTCAACTCCGGCAGGAATTCCCCAGCCCTCAATGAAAGCCCTGATAAAGACAAAAAAAATTGAAGCCATAGCGACACTCAATCCATTTGAAAAGTAACACACGAACCTGTTACAGCTGAGCTACACTTGATTTTATGGGTGATTAAAGAGGGAAGATAAAGGCGACACTATAAACTTTATGGGAGATGTTACGGGTGAATCTTTACTTGCTGCGGCTGCTCTAAAATTTTATGACAGCCCTGCATAATGGCTTTTAGATATAATGACTGTGATATCTTTTCACTCACTGTAGGCTCACCTTTGCCTTGTAAGAGGAATATTTACACAGTTGGCAGCAGCAACAGCGATAAAGGGCACCCACCGAGCAAGGAGAGGAGGGGCAGTCTAAAATAAATGCAATATAAAGTAAATACAACATAATGAGTTTGTAAGCTGAACAACAAGTTCACTGGATTTGTTTTAGGAGAGTGTAAGCATTACAGGTCCTTGTGTAGCTAGTCTGCAAAGGAGTAGTTAATGTTTTCTTTTAGCCAGACAAAGAGAAGAGCCAGAGACATGAAAGAACAGGGGGAGAAAGTAAGGAGCAAAGGTTTATGGAAATGACTGCTTAATGCAAGCTACAGTGTAGCAAGGCTACAAATAACAGTAATTTTAGTCAACAGGCAATGTTCCACTAAAATTGCCATGTCCTACCAAATCATATCCATGAAGAGCACATGGCTCAAATCAATACTTGCTAGCCTATTACATGTAGGTCTTGTAGTTGAAGTTTAGTAATATTAAAATGTCAACATTAGGATATCACCTTAACTTAGTCTCATGCAGACTGCAAGCAGTCTCTTACATTGTATTTAACCCCTTAAGTCCCAATGGTGACCAACATCAATTTTCTCTTAACAATATTATATGCATGCGTTGTCAAGAGAATAGAGAGGAGAAGTGTTACGTCAAGTTACCATGGTATCCAAATCTCTGGATGACAACAAAAGGGCCGAGATTAAGCAATGATGATGGCAATAGTAACGAGAACAGCAAAAAAACCTCAATAGGTTTATATTAGCGAAACAACTTTGCACATGCATCACAATTTTTTTGTACATTTCTTAGCCATCGCTGCACAACTGCGACATTAAACTCCCTAATGCGCCCACTTTACAGAGTGGGTGAACACAGCACAAAAAGTTTCTTTTTCTTTTTCTAAACTAAGATACGGTCCTTTCAGATTAAATCCAGAAAATTTCACCAACATTTGACAAATCAAATGAAATTGAATAAGTTCGATGAACTTGAAACAGCGCGAATTTACTTTTAAAAAGAATTTTTGGTTTGTTGTCATCCAGAAATGATGCCACCATGACAACGTGACGTAACAACTTCTCCTCTCTATTGGTTACGAGAATATTAATCAAATGAACCCTGACAAGAAAATGCTCTGAACTTTTTTCAAACTCTCTCAACTCATCTCTAAGGAAATATTTAAATATCAGTGTGGAGGATTTGTATGTGGATATTGGGGCTTAAAGGGTTAACGTTAGTGGGATGTTACAGAACGCGTGTGCATGGCTTGCAGGGAAGCCATGAGACGCAAGACAGGAGGGTCATTACTAGGAGACTGAGTTGGCACTACAGTTCAGCCTAGGTTTGAAAGGAACAATAAAATATGAGTGTTTTTACTATACATTGTACTAACTGTACTGTAGTTACCTTCACAAGACTGTTAAGACCAACTGAAACTGCCACAGCACTGGTGGTTGCTGATACATAAGCAATGCCAATTTGTCTGAAGAAAAGTAAATTTTAGACCATTACTTTCAGTGCATATCTTGAAGGAAAAATGCCAAATTTCACATTTACTTAACATGTACTTTGTAAATTAATGTCAAAAAAGGGTGAATGCATCCCAAAAAATACACATTTTAGAAGTCTTGGTTGTTGCACTTAAAAACTGAATCCACCATCAACTCATAACTCAAAGCCTCTAACCCTTGGGCACTGCCATTACAGTTATTAAACCTTGGGCTGTGCTCTAGCAGCGCCCAGTGGCCCCTGGCACCAAACTTTTGCTCTTGGGCAACTAGAAAATCTTACTTTTTTCACACATGTTTTACAGGTTTAGAGCACTGGGCTCCCTTCAATTTTCCTTAGAACGCAGTGTTGAGTTAACCTGTCAGCTAACCTTTACTGTGAGCACTAGAATTTTAAGTAATTGCTTGACACTTACTTTCCAGTTATTGTTGATTTAGCATTTCTGTTGGTGTAGTTGACTAACGCATTGAATGATTGATTTATCCACTGCCAAAATACTACTGCAGGAACAGTCCTGTTAAAAAGAGGTGGTTTATTGTTAAGTATGTAACTAAACAGTTAATTCAGATGAAGGCATGTCCATCTCTTTTAAATTTTGAGCATACAAGTGTAACTTTAAGATCTCAGTTGACCATAAATTATGTTCATGGTGATTGTATAAAGTTGTGGTTTACATAAATTTGTAAATAATATTTTCCTTTGTCGTTGGTAATGTAATGCATATGAGTTTCAAAATGTCATTTGCCTATTAGTGCCTGACATTCAACTGACTTCTCCTTCTAAAAAAATGCTGAAGTGATTAATTTTCCAAAGTTGTGACATTCAAAATGGCAACAGATTTTACACAGAAAAACAAGTTAATCATTGATGTTGAGTTTCAGCAGAACTCCAAAATGGCTTTAATACAGACCTGTACCACTGAAGCATTGCTCCTGTTATTGCCATCCCTCCTGGGACCTGGAAAGACATGCGGCCCAAGAAATTCATCCGCTCACCAGTGTCTGGGTGGAATGCAGAGTCCACTAGATGCTTTGCATGCCACAGATCATCAATGGATAAATTGGATACTTTACCCTGTCTGACCAGAAATCAGGGATGAATTCATGTTCAGTGAAAAACATCTTATCAGCAGTAGCCTTCAATAAGGCCTCTAAAGCTAAGGGTGGTTAAAGAAGGAGGCCCTGCCAGGGTAAATTCCGACAAGCAACATGGCCCAAAAAGTAGCGACAGCGAGTAAAATGAAATTGCGACAAGAGACAACCTCCCTCGGCCAAACTGCGACAGTGACGGCAAAACCGACAATAAGCGACAAACATTTATAAACACCGACACGAGACGTTTTAAAATTCAGACGGACAACATGGGAACCCCCCCCCCCCCGCCCCCTTGGCAGGGCCTCAGGACAGGGTCACTAGCCCTGAGGCTAACACCACACCTAGAGGCTGTGGAGGTCACACTACTAAACTGGTCTATGCAGTAGTCCCTCAAAGTTCCTTGCCTAAGGAAACAATTCAATGTGGAGGAGCCCTGAACAGACCTACAGAGAACAAGTCAACATGCTTAACTAATCCAGTAAATTTGATTTTTCCCCACCGTTGGTTAGTATGCATACTTCTAAAACTTACTCATAAGCTTCAACAACTTCTTTTGCCTCATCAAGTTCTGCATTAGTGTGAATAGCTTTCCTCCAGTCTGTTATGGCAAGAAAATGTCTGAATCTTCCCCAGAAGGTGGACTGATCCCATCTTGGAATATTTAAGTTGATCTGACCTGGTAATGCCACCTCTACTCCTTCCATTCTTGGGTTTTCCCTGACAAAAAAGGATGACAATGAAAACATTTTGGAATGAGAGTCCGCTCTCTGTAAAACACAAATTAAAGACACAGATACACTGGGAAGCATACCTTATTCTAGGAAATTAACAATGCACGTTGACAACATGAAAAAAATTTACGTTACAATAAGTTAACAGGACTTTTTCAAAACTTAGGTTTACATGCATTAAATTAACATGAATTTTTTGATGAGCGTCTTACTTTATTCAACACAAATTCGCTGCACTTACAAAATCTCAACATACATATATCTCAAGGAGAAAAAGAAGCATTTACAGTCATTGTTAGCTATGTTGATGTTCAGGTTATTGCTCTGTAAATGGATCTAGCGAGGAAACATGAATCAAAAGACATCTTGAACTCGATTTTCAAAGAAGTCTTGTCAGAGGAGTCAATAGAGGAGTCATGAACTTATGAGGTTTTGTTGTAAAATAGCGTGCATTGAATTTACATCGACGTTAATTAAGATACATAACATTAATGCGACTTTTTAAAAATTGCATCAATATTTGTTAATTTCCTAGAATAAGGCATGTTGTGAATCAATTTTATCCTTGGATTAAATTTTATTTTCCTTTGTTTCAAACTCATTATCCTTCATTACCAAACCCCAAAACAAAGGAAAATAGAATTTAAACACATACATTATGCACCTACCATAAGATTGACTCATGAAGTGTGTTGCCTTTAACTAACCGAAATAAGCTTCTTGTGTAGATATTCCCTGTCTTATCAATTTTTGAATACCCCAAAAAATCCCCACTTAAATTAAGCCACCAAAAAAAATCCCGGAACAGACAATTTCAAACCCAAAAAATCCTTTGATCATCCCTGTCACTTGAAATCCAGATTGCCCCCTCATCCCCTCCTGGGAAAATGAACATGTCTTTTTAAATTTCACAAGAAACCAATTCCCTGTGATGGATATGTTTTTTGCTACTTCTGTGACACTTAACCCCCAGTCTGGCTAATAATTCTCAGATGGTCCAAGGCTACACACTCAAACACTCAAATTATCTTGTGCAGAATTCCTGGGAGGGGTACTCCCTTATATATGCTACACAGGTGTGTGCCGCCCATTGGGTAGAGTTTTTGCGCCATTTTGGTCTGCAAACAGGTATAGATTTTGCCCATTTTGGTCTGGAATCAGGTACAGTTTTCGAGGGAACCACGGGATCGATGACTGTATTTATCGTTTCAGTTCCAAATGAGTAAGAAAGAAAGAGAAATATGCGAATTTGAAATGGTGTTAAGAATTTTTTCATTTGCACACTAATCTAAGTATTAAATGATGAGCAGATATAATTTCTGCCTAAAGGCCAGGCTGAAAACAGGTATGGATTTTTTGGGTCAGGATTTGGGGATCCAGGTGGCAAACCCCCCACTAAGAATTCCCAGGAGTACCCCTGCTGGGGCAGAATTTCAGAGTGGGTGAGTATAACATTCAAAATGTTGTCAGTCAGTGTGAAATGGAGTACATGAGCACAAAATACAGCACAAGGTACTCGCATGGTCTCATCGTCTCACCAATAAACCATTTTAACCAGTACTTCTAAGCACAAGTACACTCAAGTACTATGAATGTGAAGATGTACATGTGCTTAGCCATACAGTTAAGCTTACATACATTCAATCATGTAAAACAATCAAAAGGTTGGACAAACGTGATCAAGATTGGGAAGTAAGGCAATTGAAGCAATTGTAAAACTAAAGAACATCATTTTAAAATTAACTAAGCTTAGAAACGTGTAAATTACAATTCACAGGAATCAAAGCTTTAAATTTGGAATTCGAAGAGAATGCCCACACGTTGTTCTGATCAGAAACTTTTAAAAACACCTATTGATGTTCTTTGTTAAGTTAGGTGACAAGATTTCTGATCAGAGGTTTCGAAGTGTTTCATACTTAAGAAGTAAAGGACCATTACCTGCGATGTGACCGGAGGAAACAAGACTACAAACCAGTCAGTCTCAATTCCACCTACTTGTAAATTTACCGCTCTTATCACAGGCTCATAATCATGCAGTGATCAGCAGTCTCATAAAAAATGGAAAAGTATGTCATGTATCAGTCACAACGCGTAGCCTAAGAAACCTTCACCAGTCGCTATTTATGTGTTTTGGGGGGAGAGAGAAGATTGGGGGTTAGGTTGAGGCGCGCGCGGGGTCTCATGGGAAGGGAAGAAGGAAAAAAACTTCCTTTATCTCTTCCCATGAGACCCCGCGCGCGCCCAACCTAATCCCCAATCTTCCCTCATCCCTAAAAAACACTTAAATAGCGACTGGGTACGAGTCTGGGACGGGTAGGAGAGGACCCTCAGAACGAAGTTGTCGCTCAAGTTGAGCAAACCTCTCTCACACGGCGAAAAATTGTACATGTGTAAGAACAACCTCTGGGCCCAGTTGTTCGAAGACCGATTAGCGCTAACCCGTGGTTGAATTTTAATCCGTATTTTTTTCTTTTATTCAAGAACATTTTCTCGGATAATTTTCTCTATTCCTTTTAGATTAATAGGCATTCAGAGGACGGGTTCAGACGCCGAACTTTTCATGAGCCGAACGTAATTAGAATTAAGGCCGACCCAAATTATTTAGACCGGCTGAATTGATTCAGACGCCGATCTTAATTCCAGCCGAGTTTAATTCAAAAGGAGAAAATGCTCATTTCGGTCAAACTGTTTAGAAAATACGTTATAATAATTTATACATTAGGTTCGGTACATGAAAAGTTCGGCGTCTGAATCAAGGCCGTTCCAAAGTCGCCCAAGGCGACATTCCCGGCCGGGCCAGGCGAAAAGAACGGCTGAGCCGCTCCAAATTAAAACAGGCGTTCCTAATTGATTCAGACGCGGAACGTTTCAAGTACTTAATTCAATGTATTAGGTTCGGCTCGTGAAAAGTACGGTGTCTGAACCGGGCCTCAGTTACCAAATTGTTGACAAAAAGATAGACTTGCTATGCTACAAGTCGACCTCTTGGCGCGCCATATGAAATCCGACGAAGGACTTTTTTGAAAGTCTAACGAAAAGAATTTAACTGAATTTTCTTTTCAAGCTTTCATAACTGAATTCAGATTTCGCTCTAACCCAGGGTTAACTTAACCCCGCTTTGAACAAGCCGGCCCTAGGCTCTAGGGGTTCGAGAGAAGGCTGTATAGATGGTTTTCACAGTGACGTCATCAAATTGTACAGTCAAATTCCCTGAGCGAGGTTTTACGAATTCTTGTTTACACTAGCTTGAAGATGAACAAAAAGGAATCTTTGAACAAGTTTCCTGCGTAGCATGTTTCTTTCGAACATACGACAATTTGAACTTCCGAGTGCGTGGCACCAAAATAGGAATGCTATCTCGTTGAAAAAAGGCTCTCCTCTTGATTTTTAGCAGTATAACCATTTCAAGTTTTAGAAGATATGTTTATGCGCACGTATGCTAGTTCTCGAATAAAAAGAATGAGCTTTTACAGATAAAGTGAAGTCCAGATGTTTTTGTTGATTTCCGGCGGCCGTATTGGTGCACCAAAACGGTACACCAATATGGCGTCTCCATACAAAGCTCTACAAAGGTGCGTGAAACGTTTCGGCATATAACTCAAACATTGTGCGCCACAAAGACCTCCTAACCTTTTAGAAGGCATTCTGCTTGTAACCTTGTAACCCCCTGTAACCCCTTGTAACCCCTCTTTTCAAAGTACCCGCCAGAAGACGGATGCAGTCTCTGACCAAACTGACTTCGCTACTGTGTACGGCACGAGACGAAACCAACAACTTAGAGAATTGCCCGGCCCATGCTTACCCCTTCTAATAGATTAACAGAATGAACTGAAAGAGATCAAGACTAATTCGTCGTGGCAAATTTTGCCTAAGCTGACTTCTAATTGTGAGCTAACAAAGCTTCAAGATGAGAAAAACGCCTTAAAACAGAGACTTCGCGACGTGGAAGACCGCTACGACTACAAAACGTGAAGCAAAATCTATTCAAGATGAAAATAAAAGTTAAATGACTGCTTTAAAACTTTTAAACAACGAAACAGAGCGTCAAATAGCAGTTGGAAGAAAGATGTCAGCCCGTAATTCTACTGACATCGTGTCTCAAACAATCAATAACGAGCGAACCACAGTCATCGTTGGTGACTCCATAACAAAGAATGTTCAGGAATAAAACTAGCCAAGACTGTGGGACATCGGGTTGTTGTCAAGCCGTTCCCTGGAGCCACAATTCGCGACATGCCAGGGGCATCCAACGTCAATTTTCGGAAAATATCTGTTGAGAAGACGATTTGAGAGCTAAAATTTTCGGAACATTTGTTGCTTTCCTGCCTCTCCTAAGGTTTTCGAACATCTAAAAAATGATATAATCTCCCACTTTTAACGGATTTTTACTCTAAAAAGGTCACCTAGAATTTTCGGGAGCCTTAGCTTATCTCTGGCTGAAATTTTCCAAAAGGTAAGTTTTGATCCCCATAATTTTCGGATCACTAGACTTTCAGCTAGGAAATACGAACAGATGAAAAACTTTTAAGGGATAAAAACATGCCTATATCTACCGTTTAAATACTAAAATACGTTTAACAATGTTATGTTTAAGTGGTTTTGAACTATATTCTCGTTGGGTGCCCCTGACATGCGTTCGCATGTTGTTCCTACAATTGATAAGTCTCCTGATCAAATTTGTCTACCATGTGGGTGCACCGAGAGATGTGCCAGATGCTACTATAGACTTGACCAGTGAGGTTGAAAATGCTTCCGAGTCTGAAATAAGCAAAGATTAAGTACTCTATCTAATACACCCGAGCTTTCCATTGATAATGTTCCGATTGAACAAGTTTCTCCTGTGAAATCACCTGGAATATATATCGATGAATTTTACGTGGTATTCCCACATTGATAAACTGTGTAAAAAGATCGCTACTGCAATTGGCCGCCATAAAGGCGAGTTGAGCCATTTGTGCCTCAATCCACCCTACTCAATATATACAACTCGCTAGTTCAATCTCACTTTGATTACT